TACATGCAAAGGACACTGTGCATGTGGGTAGCCCTGATGCAAACCCAGGCACCATGTGGTCCTCTGAGCACCAGCCCCCACTGCAGGGAGTTCTAATGAACGGCAATGCCCAGATACGAAATTCATATTCATGATTGTATACATGTTCAGTAAATACTTTATAAGGGAATATGACCATAATTAGCTATAATTTAGCAATACATTTTGGTAAGAAAGTAAAAATAATGAAATATAAAAAACTGCCTAAGGAATGGTACACATTTATGTATATCACAGTGAAGACCTCAAAGAATCATCAAATTTGAAAATGGTGGGAATAGTTAAAATCATCTACAAAGAAAGTATATTGGTATATTTTTAAAACTTTTCAGTCACAGGTGTGATAAAAGTTTTTTTGTTAATCCCTGCTAACCAAAGAATATGGTTAACAGAGGCTAACAGATCACAAGTTAATTAGATAAAACTTCTTTCCATGATTTGCTTTCTGGAGTAATCCTTAGTTTTTTCCTTTCTCAATTAATAAGGACAATCTCCTTTCATTCATATTCCTTACTTTGGGCTAGAGAGATAGTACAGTGGGTAGTGCCTTGCACATGGCCAACCTGGTTCAATCCCTGACATTCCATATGGTTCCCTGAGCACAACCAGAAGTGATTCCTGAGGTGCACAATCAGGAGTAACCCTGAGCATCTCCAGGTGTGGTCCAAAAACAAAACCAAAAGACCCGCTGAACACTTAATTTTAAATTTTTGATATTTGGGCCGCATCAACAGTGTGTATAATAATATACAAAGCATTATACTTTTATAAATATTTACTATGTATTTAAATTTCAGGGCTGGGGAGATAGCTCAACTGAAGAGCATGTCTGGCTCTGAGTTTTATCTGGCTCTGAGTTTGATCCCCAGAACTGCACGTCTCTGGAAAATCATTAGCCTGAGTTCTGTGAGAGAGGAGAGAGGGAGAGACAGAGAGAGGGAAAGATGGAGACAGGGAGAAAGGGAGAATGGGAGAGGGAGACACAGTATTAACATTTTTTAAAAAGAACCAACGTATATTTAAATCACAGGGTAAAAATGTATTATAATGCCTGCACTGGCAATGTATTTGTTTAGGATAGGCATTATAATTCACATGTGCTGTTTCTCATGACTAATGTGGTCACCATAAATTACTGCTAATAAAACTGAAGTATATCATCAAAAATGTACATAAAACACAAACATGTATTATATACACATAACAAGCAGAAGCCTGGTACAAATGACACCAAATTCTTTAAAAGAATTTAAACACACCCCAAATCAGTAGAAAACAGATTACTAAGGTAGTATGATGACCCCAGGGGAAATGACCCCATAGATAATCATCCAGATTCTCAGAGCCCATTTCATAGCCTCACCCTTCCTCTCCCCCACACTATACCAATTCCACTAAGAACAATGTTCTTGTAATGCAACATAGTCACAAATCTCACACCTCTGGAACTTTGGCTACAAAAATAGCAGCTCTTTTAGGCACTCTATTTCGTCGGTGTGACTCAATGTCCACCTAGTTGGAATAAAAAAACTATCCAATTGAATGAAGGTCAAGAGTGGTAATCTACTTCACAGGCAATTAAAAATGCAAGAATTTACACATTTTAAAGGTACAGGAACTTAAAATACAGGCTAGAAACATGAAACTTGAAAACTATAACTAGAAAAAAAGGTTGCAGAGAAATTCATCAGAGAAACATTAGACGGGGATTGAAATCCTTACAAAGAGATTCTGAATATAAAGTTAAAAAGTTCCAGGACAAACCAAATTACAATTTTTTACCTCTCACAATAGCAGTAAATAAGAAAAGTAAATAAGCAAGGAAAAAATAAAATCACTTTTAAAATCCATTAACCAGAAAAAAAACTGTTCAATGGGGGAGAAAATCTCCTTAAGAAATGCTCAGGGGAACTTAGCAGGGTCACACTGTAAGGTACTCACCCAAGTGCTGCTTAGACCCTGTGATCTGGGGTGTTACAAGGTGCTGGGGGGCAGGGAGGACAGGGAACAAAAGGTACTATGTGGTAACAGGAATCAAACTCTGGGCCTATCCAAGTCAAAAATGTGCTTCAGCTCTTCGGATTCTCTCCTGCCAAGATCTCTACCATTCCCCAAATGCCAGATCACAGTCATGATGAGTTATCTCTTAACAGTACAGAATCATGTATGCTTTTAAAATGTCAATGACCATATCGATAAACTTCAATGGAAAATGACTTAAGTAGAGGAAAAATTTAATTCTTCTAGAGACTAAAACATAATACTTTTACAGAAACACCTAAGTTTTAAAAATGGGTATCACCATTCCATGATGTAAGAGCAAATACTTGCAAATCTTATCTGACAAGCCCTACAGAATATATATAGAACCCTTTCAACACAGTTACAGAAGTATTAGTGATGCAAAGAAAGATATGGAGAAATTTGATAGGTACTCTGGAAAATAGGTACGGCAGTTCTTAAAAAGGTTACAAAGACCAATATAAACCAAAAAAAAAGTTGCATATGAATGACTGTAGCAGTATTTCTACTAGCTTCAAAAGGAGAAAGAAGTAAAAGTTCAATTGATGACTACCTGTGAAATGAAAATAAAATGGAGTATCATCTGATTTTAAAAAAACTAACTGAAATACTGATGGTAACCTACAACATGGGTAAATATTTTGTGTGCTAAATTTAAGAAAGGAAACCCCCACTCTCCATAAAGATGTCTATACCACCATACTTAGGCATATAAAATGAAAAAAAGGTAGTTAATTGTCTGGGACTGGTGGAGCTCAGTGGGAAAATGGGGTGATAATTCTGAATGAGTTCATGCTTCTTGTAAAGATAAGAAAAATATTCTCACATTGATAGTGGCTATTTATTTTTCCTAACTCATCTCTCACTACTACTCCAGATAACTATGTTAAATTAAGTGGCTCTTCCTGTCCTTTCTGGGATTCCTGGAAAATGCATTTCCATGTAGCCCTCTGGTCAAAACTGAGTATTTTTTCAACAGACACTTTGATTTATGCTTTTAAAAAGACAGTCTTAAACAGTATGTGTGGAAGGGGGGAGGTGTAACTTTATATATATCACCCACTGTAATTCTTGGTAAAAACAGTAAATATTGTTGAGTAAACAACTAATTAAGGATACTGAGTGACAAAGAATTTCAAAAGACAGAAAAAGAAAAAACAAGAAAGGGAAAAGTTTTAAGAACCATGTTTGGGGCCTGGAGTATCTTGAAGAATTATGGTACATGGGCTAGTAACAGAAAGGGGTGCTTGAGGTAGACTGAAGTGGGGAAAATGAAGGGGTTTGGTTTTAGAAATACTTCAGGTATGGACTACTGTTATCCAAAAAAAAGTGATTTCATCTTTTCCCCCAAATGGCTAAATAATATATAATACAGAAAATTGTTCATTATTTCAAGCAGAAAGTGGATAAATGAAAAAAGGGTAAACAATCCAAATGTACCTAATAATTTAAGCATTTCCACCTTCGAATATTTTAATTTTGGACTTATAAAGGACTCAGTCTGCACAGAGCCAAAGCCATCAAGAGCGACTATTATACAATACCACTAAAACAAAAGTTCTCTTAGGGTCACTGTCCCTTTACAGAAAGAAAAAAAGGAAAAAAAAAATCACTCTGCACACCCCCCTGAAATCTACCTTCTCAAGAGACAAACAAAAGCATCCCATCATCACCACATTGCACTGAAGACTATTACTAATGCACTCTGGATCATTCTGGCATTGCACTGATCTAGAACAAACCACATAGGTTCACTAATAGCTTCTTCATTCACTACTTAAACTACATGCTGTCCTTATTTTAAAAAATAATATGCTCAAGCAGGAGAGATAGTATACAGGTAAGGTGCTTGCTTTGCATGCAGCTAACCTGGGTTTGATCTCTGGCATTCCCATGTAGACCCCTGAGCACTGCCAGGAGTGATCCCTGAGCACAGAGCCAGGAGTAACCTCTGAGCATCACTGGGTAAGGGACCCACACCCCAAATCTCCCAGAATCTAGCATAGTGTTCCTAATATTTAGAAAACTCAGCAAACGACCAGTGTAGATAATTAAGTGTATTTCATAACAAGCAATCTGTTCTGCCTGAGTTTAATAACAATACATAAAAATATGTTAAAGAGTTTTAAAATAATAGCCTAGGAGACAAAGAAAAATATTACATATCTACACTTCATGGATTTAAGCACATTATGGATCATATGAGGAATATTTTTTAAGAACACTAATAAACTGAGATAATGAAAAAAAGCTTTCTTTTGGAGAGGTGGTGGGTGGGTCACACACAGCAGTATTTAGAGCTATTCCTGAATTTGTGCACGGTAAGTGCCTTATCTCCTATGTGATCTCTGGCCCAAAGATTTTATATATATGAAATACATATAAATATATAACATATAAAAGTAAAAATCTTTGGGTTTTTATGAAATTTCTCTGGGCAGGAAATTCTGAATGGTATCAAAGCTTTGAAATCCACTGCACAAAAAAAAAAATAAAATAAAAAAACACCATTTTTTCTTTTTGTGGTTTGTTGGGCCATACCTGATAGTGCTCAGGGCTTACTCCTGAACAGACTTGGGGGACCATACATGTTTCCAAGGATAGAACCAGAGTTGGTCATGCGTATGACAAGCACTTTTACCTGTACTCTTTCTTTAGCCTACACCAAAAAAAGTTTTAAACAATAAAGAAATGGACTTTTTCTTTTTTTTACTATACCCAACCCCTTCAAAATGTGCTGCAGCATGTAGTCACACTGTGATGCTAATAGTGGCAACTCAAACCACAGGCCTCATCATGAGGCTTATTACTATCTCCTGGAGAGAGTACAAAATTACAACTGCCTGTGAATCAGAAAAACGATGGTGTACAAAGATAAAAATCAACTAACAAATCTTAAATATTTAACAGTTTAGATATTTTTCTGATGGTTTTGTTACCTCCTCTTTTAGTGCATGCTTCTTCTGCTCCAAACAGATCTCTTTGGCTCTCATCATCTGTAGAGTTTCCTTAGAAACAGCATACTGGAGTTTTTCCATACGTTCAGCTGCTGCTGCCCATGATGCTTTACCAAATTTCTTCTGATCTGCTCGCATTCGATCATACACAGCTATTAACAAATTAACAGAAAAATAGTGAGAAAGTGAGACTCTCAGATCTCACTAACCAAAAGATAAACAGACAAAATCCTACCTGTGATCAAATAACCTGTAATAACCGTAAAACGAATTCAAGGGACTAGAGAGATAGTATAGTGGGCAGGGTGCGTGCCCTGCATGCATCCGACCAGGATTCACTACCCAGCACCCCATAGCATGAGAGTATATACTTCTTTGACCTTATGCAATTAATCCAACTGGTTTACTATTGGAGATATACTTTATATAATAAGAGGCAGGCAATCTGATAAGCATATCAAACGAAATAATTTAACATGCATTCATTAGTTTTTTCTATATATGCTCAGAGGCAAACCCGGGTTAGCCTCGTGCGATCCGGATTCAATTCCTGTGTTCCTCTCGGAAAGCCTGGCAAGCTACAGAGAGTATCCTGCCCGCAAGGCAAAGCCTGGCAAGCTACCCGTGACGTATTCGATATGCCAAAAACAGTAACGACAAGTCTCACAATGGAGACATTACTGGGCCCGCTCAAGCAAATTGATGAACAACAGGAGGACAGTGCTACAGTGCTACAGAGGTTAAGTGCTGAATACTCTGTACTGCTACCAAGCCGTAATCCACTTTTGCAGGCAAGCATATCATAGTAATCTTTACCTCAGAATTTTGTAATAATCTTCATTTCAGTTCTAAAGAGAAAATATAGGGGTTAAAGGCACTTGCCTTGCACAATCTTGGTTCTATCCTGGGTACTGCAAATTTGGCTAAGAACCACCAAGAGTAATCTCTGAGTACCAAGCTAGGAGTAAATCCTGAGAACCCCTAGCTACCAACCCCCCCCACACATATTTTAAAAAGGGGGCGTGTATCTTAGTAAGTCTAAAAATGTTTTAAAATACATACCTTAATTAAACCATTAATCTTCAAATATACACAAAGTGGGGTGGGGGAAGTTAGGTCATATTTGACCATGCTCAGTACTTACTACTGGCTCTGCACTCAGGGATCATTGCTGGCAAGGATGGGGGACCCACATGAGGTGCCAGGGATTGAAGCCGAGGTGGCTGCACCCTGCCCCCTATAACTGTCTTTCCATTCTTGGGAAACTTACCTTTTTGAGCTTTAGCTGTTATTTCAAAATATTTAACAGTAAGATCTTGAATAGATAGCACAGCCATGTGAGCTTTCCGCTGCCAATCAGCATCTTCTTTTTGAAGACTTTCGATTCTTCTGGGACCCAGATAATCATTCTCCATGGAAATCTTTAGAGGGGAAAAATATATATACATTCCTTTACCATTTATTAAAATTTATGGCACTGTGCTTAGTGCTAACAAATATGAATGTTTCCCTGCTCTAGAGTAGAAATTGGCCTTTGCAAAATATGTATAGAGTAATACTGAAGGTATTTGACAAACGTGCCTCCCACCTTCTGCTCATTTCTTTTTTATCCTTCCCTTCTCCATATATAATCAAAGGGCATATAGGAAAATGTTAACACTGACATTTTTTCCTAAGATATGAAATTAGTTTTCTTCTTTATGATACTGTTTTTTCAAGAATTACTTGTGCCAGTAAAATAATTATTAGGTGATTAAAGAAACTGAATACTCAGGGACTGTAAACAATGTACAAGAGGCAAAGTACTTACCTCGGATGTGGTCAACCAAGGTTTGAGCCTAAGCATCACATGGACCCTGGAGCCCTACCTGGAGTATTCCCTCCCTGAGCACTGCCAGGTATGACCCAAACATCCTTTCCAAAATAAAATAATAAGTATTCTTTGAGAGTATTTGAAAAATGAGAAAGAAAGAAAATCATGAACATACCAGGGATAGTGGTGAAAGAAGACATGTGAAAGCTAAAATTAAAAGTCACCAAAGTGATAAAATTAATAGAATGTTCATTAAAGTACTTTTTGTGGGGGTCTTCCTAAGAAATGCAAGAGGGCCCAGAGATACTCCTGGTGATTCCTGGCTAACCAGATCAGGCAGCTGAATGCTTAGGCTCAGTGATGTGATGTTACTTAGGCCCAGTGATGTTGCAGGGGGAGTGGGGACGGGACAGGGTGCTTCAAAATGTACACAGCAGTGCTGAGACCAAACTCTCTTTCAAACTACCTTGGCATGCAAGACACTCTCTCTAACTCCTTGAGCTATTTATATGACCCTATTAGATCCTTTTATAATATAAATGTATATATAAAAGCATTACACAGATATATTTAACAATGAAGAAAGGTGAAACCCAGGGCAAAAGCAATAGCATAAGTGCCAAGAAATGATACAGTAGTTATCCAGGTTAAATTCCTGACACTATATGGGAAAGTTGCATAGAAAACCACCAAGCTTAATGACCTGAACAGTAACACAGAAGGGCTCAACTAGCACTAACCAACACTGCAGATCCTTAGACAATAACTTTTAGTAACATCACTGTAAGATATAAAAATTATCACAAAATAACTCTTAGACTGATTTAAATTTTGATAATTCCATTTGTCTTCACACTGTAACAAATAATATGAAGTAAACTTCTTATTTGTGCCTGCATAGTGGATGGGAAAGTGAGGACACTGGGTGGAAGGAAGGGCACAGTGATGGGGGGGATTAGAGTTGGAACATACCTGAAACAACTGTGTAATGAACAACTTGGTAAACCAAGTTGTTAATAAAAAAAACTTTTAAAAAGGACTTTTTCTTACATATATTAATTTTGCAAAGATTATGACCAGATTTGTAAATGCAGGTGTCCTTGACAGAGAATTCATTTAAAGTCCAAAACAGTAAATGAAGCCATCAAAGAAAATCAAGAAAAAAGGGTTTGTAACCAAAGACTATTGTCCAGAAATACTGATACTCTAAAGCTGAATGAAGAGTAATCAACCAAGTTAGAGGAAGGGAGACTATTAAAGACAGAGTGGGGTTAAATATAAAGAGAAGGTTTAAGATGGGAAAATCAACCCTGTGAGACACTGCTTACTGCTGAAGTCGGGTAACAACCAGAACAGAAGGAAGGTAATGAATGTAGTTAACAACAGTCTAAAGCAGTAGTTCTCAACCTTTTGTATATCTTTGAACCAGAATGTGGAATACTTCTTTGAGAAATTTTATTCTATAAGTGAACAGAAGGGAGAGCTAGAAAAGGATGAGTTTCAGGATAGAACTATGTTAAAGAGAAGATGCTGGTGCCAGTCGAACGGTGACAAGAAGCATTCACTGGAGGGAGAAACTAAAGATATAGGAAAGAAATGGGAATAATAAGAATAGCAAAGTCATTAAGATGGGAAGAAACAGGGTACAAAGTGCCATAATGAAGGATTTGCGTTTGTATTCAGAGGAACAGTTAATGCGTACACAAAAAAGCAGGTTTTGAAATCTGGTAAAGAGTGAGGGAGCTGGGGAGAGAGAACAGCAGTGAAGGTACTGCCTTGCATGCACCAGGCCTAACCGGCTTCAGTCTCTGGTACCCTATATGGTTCCTGGAATCTGCCAAAACGATCCCTGAGTGCAGAGCCAGGAATAAGACATGAGCACAGCCAGTGTGTCCAAAAAAAAAAAAAAAAAAAAAAAAAAAAAAAAAAAAAAAAGGAGAGAGAGAAGACTCTTGTCTTATGATCTCTATTTTCTCCTATAAAGAGCAAGCCTAGATTCTTTACTATGCTAACGTTTTCTGGATCAACAAGAAAGTTTGATGTTTTTAGAAGCCAATTTATAACCCTCTAACAACTGATTTCCCCAAGTGGACAATGATGTTTTTTAAACAACTGCCCTGAAAGTCCCCTGGGGATTGAGTTCTCTCAGTCTTGGATATGAATCAGTTTCTGGCTTAAAGATCTATTAAGTTCTGTTCAGCAGCTGATAGCACTGAATTTGCTTAATTCTCAGACTCTATGTGTGATCCCAAGTAGTAATTTCCATAGAGATCCAGAAGATTCCCTATCCTTGCAAGCCAGAGACTGCTTTGAATTTTCATTTACATATAAAATAAAGCTTAAAAAATGAGGTGGGGGGAGAAGGCAAGATGAGGGTGGGAGACGAGAAGAAAAGAGGAAGGAAGGAGAAAGAAAACAAAGGAGAAAACACACAATAGCTGGGTTTAGATGATAGGATGACAAAGCACTGAGAAAGACTCACTTAGCAAATATTATAAACAAGATGTTACCAAGGTTAGTGTGGTCATGGTGAACATACACATTCAAACACTCTTGGTGGAACTTTAATAGATACTTCTTTGGATCAATGGAAATGATTTATGAGAGCATTTTCCTTGACAATGGTTTTTAAATCCTTATTTAAGAAAATACCTTGGGGCCAGAGAGATAGCTCAATGGGCTGAGTGCATGCTTTCCACATGGTAGATGCAGAATGATGCCCAGCACATTATCCTTTAAGCACCGCAAGAAGTGATCCCCTAACAAAGAGTGAGGAATAGCACCCAAGCATTTCCAATGTAACCTTCTCCATCTGCCTGACAAAAAATAATTAACAAAAATAGCAATCAAAGATGTAAGCTGTTTGCAGTGAAAAAAAAAAGGGGGGTGATTCAAAATATCTAGTAGGGGCTGAATGACAGTATAAAAGGCAGGACGTTTGCCTTGCATACGGCCGACCCGGGTTCAATTCCCAGCATCCCCTATAGTCCCCTGAGCACCGCCAGGAGTAATTCCTGAGTGCAAAGCCAGGAGTAACCCCTGAGCATCTCTGGGTGTGACCCAAAAAGAAAAAAAAACCTAGTAATAGTTAAAACATGCCTATAAACTATAACTTCAAAATAATAATGCTTTATTATGAATTTAACAGAGAAATAACTGTGGTAAGACAAATCATAATTTCAATTAATAAAATAACGCTGGGGGAAAATATATTGGTGATCTCATTTTTGGTGGAAGATTAATGGGCAATTTCTTCCTGTTTAAAATCTGTACTTTGCAAGGCCAAAGAGATAGTACAGTAAATAAGGCACATACCTAACCCAGGCTTAATACCTGGTAGCACATATGGTTCCCATAGCACCGCCAGGACTGATCCTTAAACATAGGCAGGTGTAACCCAAACTGGCCCCCTACCACTTACAAAAATAAGCAACCCCTCCCCCGTACTTTCCAAATATTATTTAGTGTTTTTAGCATTAACAAGAAAAAAATGCTTTTGTCCTTTCTTGGATTCAAAAGTCTGGTACCAACTAGACAGGCTGAAGACACATTATTTCAGGTTTCCTGTTTCTATTCAAGCAATGAGCTCATGTTTTCATATATATGAGGCCCCGCTAAAAGCATAATTATTAAAGTTACCTCTTTTTTCCAGTATGTGGGAGAGGCAGGAAAAATAAAGATATGTCTCCCTTAATAGCTGGAGAAGAGAATTATGAGAGTTCCATTTCTGGGACTATAAAAATAGTTTCAAGCAATGACAATCAAGTAGTAACAGCAGTATGATATGATTCCCTATTCATTTGAATTGGATTTATTTTAATTCTAGAAGGTTACTGTTATCACATTTCATATTATAGGAGTCAAACTAAAAGAATGCAATGAAATATAAGGTTAGCCATTCATGTCTAGATTTTCCCATGGCTTATATCTGAACAACCTTTTGATTACATAATTTGAATAAAGAGACTTCTACAAGGGGCTTCAAGGTATCTAAAGGAGGCAGATATATATTTTCCCCCAGTACTTCACCATCTAATTAGGGGATAGAAATGGGGCAACACAAATCTGGGATATAGAAGTATATATTTAAGAGATATGGCTATGTTAGTTACTAAATTGAGAACCCTGACAAATAACTAACAATGTTTTATTCCAGGGCTGGAGCGATAGCACAGCGTGTAAGGCGTTTGCCTTGCACACAGCCAACATGGCCGACCCGAGTTCGATTCCTCTGCCCCTCTCGGAGAGCATGGCAAGCTACTGAGAGTATCTCGCCTTCAAAGTATCTTCGCTGCAAAGCCTGGCAAGTTCCCCGTGACGTATTCGATATGTCAAACACAGTAACAATTGTCACAATGGAGACGTTACTGGGTCCGCTTGAGCAAATCAATGTACAGAGGATGGTGACAGTGACAGTTTTATTCCAAATGATGTATTAGACATCTGTCTGATGACAATATTGTTAATGGTCATTATGAAGAAAGATATTTCACTCTGTGAAGGACATAGATGCCAAAATAAAGAATTACAATAGAGGGGCTAGAGCAATAATACAGTGGGTAGGGCATTTACCTTGCATGCAGCCAGCCAAGTTCAATCCCCCGGCAT